GTAGAGTAGCCTTCCTTTGGAGTTGGGTGGCCCAATTCAGGCACCCTTGATGCTTCTATTATCCAGGCAGTCTGGAAACAAGTTACAGGCACCCCTGGACACCCAGATCAATTCCCCTTATCAATTCCTGGCTAGGAATTGCTCAAACTCTGCCCCCTTGGGTCTGGTTCTGTATAGAAAAGGGTCAGAGTAAGGTCCTCTTTGCTCAGAAGCCAAGAAAGTCTCTTGACCCCAACTTCAAGTCCATCCACCAGAGCCACCGGAAGATGAACTCCCCCTGCCGCCTCCATACAATCCCGGTGACCCAACCCCCATACCTACACTGTTGGCATCAGACACTCTGCCGCCCTCTGACTCACTGCCCGACAACCCGGCTGAGGGGACTCCGATAGCTCACCATCTCCATTATGTCCAGAATCCAACTCCATCCCTCCAATTGCCAGTCTGTGAGGTCCAAGATCAATTCCGGGTTACTGATGATGGGACTGTGCAGCAAGGGCTGCCGGTCCTCTGCTATCACCCCTTTTCAACTACGAATCTCCTGAATTGGAAACAACATACTCCTTCTTACTCAGAAAAGCCACATGCCATGATAGACCTCCTGGAGAGTATCTGTCAGACCCATCAACCCACTTGGGAGGACGGCTGGCAACTTCTCTTAACCCTCTTCAACACCAAGGAGCAGTACCAGATCACTGCAGGGGCCCGGAAATGAGTTTGAGACAACACACCAGCGGGCGTCCTCGATCCAGAGACATGGGCACAGTGAGCAGTCCCAGATGTTGTGCCTATGCAGCAGTCCTGGGAGTCGGTGCCACCGCCCATGCCCCGGCGCGGGGCAGGGCTGGGGACAGCGCCTTTTGTCCCCAGAGACCCCTGGAAGTGTGCGGCGGGTGTGCAGAGGCGGCGGGCAGCCCTGACATGGAGGAGCCAGTGCGCAGAGCTGGCATGGGCTGCGGGCATGGCAGAGGGCGCCGCCGCGGTGCGTGGACTTCCCTGCGGACCTGCAGCTGTGCCACACATGGGCTACAAGAGGATGGTACTGCCTGACCTGCTGGAGCACAAGACCATGGCCGAGGTAAAGCAGCAGGCCAGCAGCTGGGTGCCCCTGCTCAACAAGAACTGCCACATGGACACACAGGTCATCCTCTGTTTGCTCTTCATGCCCGCCCACCTCGACTAGCCCATTGACTTGTGCCAGCCCGTCATGCAGTGCTTCAGCTTCTACTGGCCTGAGATGCTCAAGTGTGACAGGTTCCCCAAGAAGGACGTCTACATCACCATGACCCCACCCAATGCCACCAAAGCCTGAAAAGCTATAAGGTTTTGTGGGAATGAACATCACTCAACTGTTGGAGATGGCCCAAAAGATATACTGGAACCGAGATTGTGTGGCTCAGAGGGAAAGTGAAAAAAGAATGAAGCATAAGGCCACACTCCTGGCAGCAACACTTGGGACTCCTGTGTCTACCCCAGGGCTCGGTACAAAAACCTGAGAGGGGGCCCCATAGGTAGGGGACACTAAGACTGGACCAGTGTGCATACTACAAAGAGACAAGGCATTAGAAAAATGAGTGCCCACACCAAAAGACTGCCCCCCTCCAAGACGAGGCCCTTCTCGGGGGTTCCAGATAAAACCAGAGACCCAAGATCTCACTGGACTTGCAGGCATAAACTCTGATTAAGACAGACCAGGCTCCCCTAACCTTGGCCCCCGGGAGCTCATGGTCACTATGAATGTCGGGGGCGGGGGTGAACCTGTAACCTTCGTGGTGGACACTGGAGCTGAGCACTCAGTGGTGACCACCCAAATCGCCCCTCTCACAGGGCGAGAGACAACCATAATTGGAGCCACTGGAAACCAGGTAGCCAGGCCTTTCTGCCATCCCTGCTCCTGACAGCTTGGGGGACATCAAGTAACACATGAGTTTTACTTGTGTGTAAACTGTCCAGTTCCCTTGTTGGGACGGGACCTCCTGCACAAGTTGGGGGCCCAAATCACTTTCCACCCTGAGGGTACTGCTGATCTCTCACTGCCAGCCCCAATGTCCCTAATAATGGCGGTCACAGTTCCCCAAGAAATGGAGTGGCAGCTCCACAGTGACCAGTGTTGCTGCCAGGACCAAATACACAAACATAGAAACTCACACAGATATGATTCCATCGAACCCTTGGAAGAGACACCCCCCACCTCCAAATTCAAGCAAGACTTCCCAACAGTCTGGGTGGAAAATAACCCACCCAGGTTGGCAAATCAACAGGCACCAGTCAGAGATAAAACCAGGAGCTCAGCCCATAAGAAAAAGGCAATATCCCCTTCCAAAAGATGCTCGTGAGGGAATCCAGACCCACCTGGAAGACATTCTGAGGGAATGTCAGTTGGCCTGGAACACCCTTCTGCTCCCAGTAAAAAAAAGCCTGACGAGACCTACTGACCCATCCAAGACTTTCAAGTAGTGAACGAGGCCACAGTTACCCTCCACCCAACAGTACCAAACCCCTACACCCTCCTAGGACTTATCCCTGAGGATGCCAAATGATTTACTTACCTAGACCTGAAAGATGCCTTCTTTTGTATCCATGTGGCACCCATAAGCCAACCTACCCTACATGTGCACGGGGCCCTCTATAAGAAAGGGGGACTGCTAACAGCAGGAGGTAAGAAAATAAAAAATAAAGAAGAGATTCTCCAAATATTGGAGGCCATATGGGAGCCAAAAAAATAGCTGTTATACACTGCCGAGACCACCAGAAGGGGACAGACCCAATAACCCTTGGCAACCTCCTGGCGGATCAAACAGCAAAAGCTATAGCTGAATAGAAGCTTCACTGCAAAAATCACATAGACTTTAACTAAAATATTAAAGATCAAATGGAAACTCCATACTGCATACAGACCACGAAGCTCAGGGAAAGTGGAGCGCATAAACCAGACCCTCAAAAACACCCTTGCAAAGTTATGACAGGAGACAGGGTTACCTTGGGTAGACTTACTTAGTCTAGCATTGCTTAAAGTTGGATGCACTCCAGGACTGACAGGATATTCACCCTTTAAAATCTTGTACAAAAGACCCCCACCCATAATTAAACAGCTTAAGAGAGACATCACCCAGATAGGAGAAAAGACCCTACATAATCAGCTTATTTCCCTTTCCAAAACCCTGAGTCAGAGTCATCACAATGTTATAGAAAAGATCCCTATAGCGATGAGACACCCAGTCCACTCACACCAGCCTGGAGACTCAGTCTGGGCTAAAGACTAAAAACACCACTAGAGTCCACCTGGACAGGCCCCCACACTTTAGTCTTCATCAGACCCACTGCTGTTAAAGTTACAGGGATAGCACCCTGGATTCATCACATGAGAATAAAAAAAGCCATACCTGAAGAAAACTGGGACACCTGGACAGAAAAGCACAACCCAGAGGACCCACTGAAGATCCACCTCTGGCGCAGCGAAGGCCCAGCAACCACACCAGAGGCCACCCAAGCCGAATGACCAAGCCAGCCGATTACATTGCCATTGGCCTGTTCAGACTATTGGCCCTATTATTGGTCATTGGACTTTACTCAATATCTCCAAAAGACTGGGGGACAGGAGAAAAGATCATTCTTACTGTATTATATTGGACAATAATAGGATTCTTTTTCTGGTTTTGGTATTATTCTTAGTCCCCCCCTCTGAACACCCGAAAAAAGCGAGCACTGTTACTACCCCTACTCATAGGGATAGGGATCACAGCAGGAGTAGGGGCAGGAGTGGGTGACTTAGCAACTTCCCTAAGCACCTATCAAAAATTATCTCAAGAATTAAATGAAGACATGGAAAGAGTGGCAAATTCCCTAATGTCTCTCCAAAATCAACTAAATTCACTAGCAGCAGTGACCCTCCAAAACAGGTGAGCCTTAGACCTACTCACTGCAGAGAAGGGGGGAATCTGCATATTTTTAGGAGAAGAGTGCTATTATTATGTAAACCAGACAAGAATAATAACCACCAAGGTCAGAGAGCTAAGAAAAAGAATCCAAAAGAGAAACAAAGAATTAGAACAAACATGGGATTTCAACTTAGGACAATGGGCCCCATGATTACTGCCACTGGCCAGACCACTGATAACTATACTCCTCCTTGTCACTATAGGCCCACGCTTGCTAAGCGCAATTATAAAATTCATAAAAACAACTGTAACCCAAAGAGCAACAACTCACTCATATAATAGCCTTATGAGACTACCATCCGTTAACAAATAATGATGCCCTATAATAAATGAGGGCTAGTGCCTCATAGTAAACATATAGGGGCATCAAAGAGGGGAATGAAGTGGAAAATTCCACTGACAAGTCTCCACCCCTGCTATCTCCCCTAACAGCTGTCACTCTTGCCTCTGTAAACTGCTTGCAGGCATCAAGATGGCTCAAGACCCTGCCCTCACTAAAGACAACCTCATTGTAACTGTGCCCCACTTCCTAACTCACTGTAACTGTGCCCCACTCCCTCTCTAAGCAAAATGTACAAAAGACTGGTACGTTCTTTGTTCGGGGCTCAGAATTTGGAGGCAAGTCCCCTCTGAGCCCGCCAGTGTAATATAACCTGTTTTGCTATACTTCTGTGTGCCTCTCGGTCTATTCCCGGTCAATTCTGCTGTAACAATACCACACCCTTAAAGAGATTTGACCTTTTAAACAGTCAGGCTTAATATTACAAATATTCTGCTTGATGGAGATTGGGTTATGGAGGTACACCCCTTTAGATGAGAATGGGGAAAGGTGTGGGTGGGCTGCGGTAGCTGGCTCAAAAGGGAGTGATGAGACAGTAGGGTTGGGAATACCTTCCTCAAGGGCCAAGGTTTCCTTCACTCCATCTTTTTGTCCTTAGCAGCCACCACCCAAGAATGCTGATGAGGGTGCTTTTTCCACATCCCCATTCTCAGTAGGGAGCCCCTTCCCTGAGACCCATTGGAAGGTGTTGGTGATGATGAAGCGTGCAGTCCTTACCTGTGTCACTGAAAGTAGACCAGCAGAGCTGCAGCTTCTGCTGCCATTTCCTCCTCTGATCGCCAAGAGTCCTGGAGTCTTCCTCCTCTTTGTCATGTTTCTGGAGCTTTGGAGGAAACAAAAAAATGGAATAAGCTCATTAATGGGTCCTTGGATCTCCTTGAACAAATGTTGTGGGGACTGAGCAGAATTTTCAAATTAGAGGCCAGGAGTGTAGGGATGAGTGTCTTTTCATTGTTTTAGTTGCCAAAATTTGAGAATGAGGAGATTTCACATAAGAATCCACATTTCAGGCTGGGCGCGGTGGCTCACGCCTGTAATCCTAGCACTCTGGGAGGCCGAGGTGGGAGGATTGCTCAAGGTCAGGAGTTCAAGACCAGCTTGAGCAAGAGTGAGATCCCATCTCTAAAAAAAAATTAATTAATTAATTAAAAAAATAATAAAAAAAAAGAATCCACATTTCCAGCTTCTCTAAGAAAATAATCAGATTAGGCTGTACTGTGGCTGCCCTATAGTCATCTGCCGGGGCTGGGGGGCATTTTACCATCACCGTAATCCCCATGACTCTCTAATTTTCTTATGTTTGACAGGCCTCATTCATTTATTTTACTTCTGATATTTTGAAGGCATTAGGTTTGCCACCTACCCATAATCATTCCTCCAAGCTGTACTGTGGTTTACCTACTGCTCTCTTTGGTTTGGCCTTTCTGAAATGAGCTCTGAGCACTTTTGCTCAGGGAATAAAATAGCCCAAGAAAATTTATGATACTAACACAAGGGTCATGAGAACTGAGTAAGAAATGGGTATTTCCATTAAAAGAGGCTTCAGGTAGGGAAAACAGTAAATGAAAAAATAATTCATCAAAAAATTAACAACTGGTCTTAGTCCATTGAATCACTGTAAAACCCTCCTCAGATCATGTTTATTTTTTAAAAATTTGTACATATCTTAAATATAAAGTGGATAAAATTTAAATTCTGTCAGAGAGATGTTCTCAGAACTCTGTTCATTAGAGCTCAATTTTCCCCCTTAATCTCCCATTAGAATTCAATTTCATTAGCTAAGTTAGTTGTTCCTGTGTGTAGCTCTATACATTGTGTAATGCTGAAGGTTACACAATTATTCTTCACAGAATGCACAGTGTGGTATTCTGTGTGAAGTCATCTGAGATTGAGACATACAATTCAATAGCACCAATGATGGCTAGTATTTATGGTGTGAAGGGCAATTGCTGTGATGTGTATTATTTTGCTTAATCCTTACAATAACTTGTAAGGCAGTAGCTACTTAACCCCATGTTACCAAGGAGGAAAAATTGGGGTCTAAGGAAGTTCATTCATAGGTCAAAGATCAGCCAGCTAAGTAGTGGTAGGTACCAGAATTGTCTCCAACAATGTTTGACTTTTTATCCCGGAGGATCTACTGTTCCACTCTACCAGGTATATTCACCCAAAAGTCAGATCCTTTGAAAATAATCTTGCCAACTCAACAAAAAGTCTATCAACTAAAATACTGGAGTTTGCTATCTCAGGCCAAAAACACTAAATCTAACGCATAGACCCCCGCCGTGGCAGCTTGCAGCAGATGGAGAAGTTTCCCCATTTATTTCAGATCAAACTTTGATACAGAAGGCAAAACAGTGAGGGAACTATAGCCTCGCTCTCCAGCTGAGCTATATTTCCACTCCGGGTAAGTTTGAGCCTAAATGAGGCTCATTAGCATATAACAACCAGGCCACAGATATGTTTATGAGGGTCATGTTTCTTCCGTTCAGAATTTGGCTGCCAGCACACTGGTTTTACATTTTGCCACATAGATTTAATTCTCCTTAGTGGAAGAAAACCACATTAAGAAGTCATTCCCTTCCTTGCAGAGGCAAACATGATGCAGTTCCTACAGGCAAGTCAAATGGGATTGCTATTCTTCTACTCAAGAACTAATTTTCATTTTGATACTACCTTTAGGTCTGTTATAAATCCATCTTGTAACAATTCAGTAAGATGACAAAGAACAATGCAAAGCCCAGAAAATAGGGCCTTCCCACTTCTGGTACTGCACTGGAAGACACAGAAATCAAGCAATAAGTGGCCTCATCAACACAGATCAGACCAGATGAATCCAAGTAATTTAGAGCCTGTGAATGTTAATGGCTTCCTGGTTATTAGGCGACCGTCTGTTATTGTCATATGCCTTACAGATGGCGACATTGTGCCAACCCTTAGAAGTTATTTACGAGAAATAGGAAATAAATAAAACAACTAATTGTATTTGCAAAACTCTGTTGTACATGGTTTTTAAAACTTTGAGATTTCCATCCTAAAAGCCACAAATGGAAGCATGTGGCTTTCTTTAGAATAGTGGTGCTCGACCCTGGCTGTCCAGTGGAATCATCTGGGAAGCTTTAAAAAATAAAACCCACCCCAGGGATTCTGAATTAATTGGTCTGAAGCAGCCTGGGTTTGGGGATTTTTTTAAAAAAACCTTTCAGGCAATTCTAAGGTTTACTTACTACTGAGAAACACTACATTTGGGAGAAGTGTGTGACCAAGCAGAGCCCATAAACATACAGAAAGAATACATTTGCATTTAAGCACATTGCTTGTGACCCTATCAATAGTATGGAAACTGTCCTTTGCAAACCCTGCTCTAGAACTGCTTTTCTTCTGTCACTTCTCTGCCCAAAAGGTGCCTGGGCCATGTGGCTTGTCTCAGCGGCACTGAGGAGCCATTGAATGACTTTCCACTCTCTGCGGGGACAGGGAGCCTGGGAAAGATCCTGGTAGGTAAGACTTGTGTCCTAGAGGAGCCACCCAGATGACTTGGAATTTAAAAATGCTGCAGTTTGAAGTAAAGTTCTGCTTCCCTAAAGCAACCCAAGAACCTGGTGGCTGCAACCTGTTGCCTGGCTAACAGAGAGAAACTCTAACGATCTTAAATAAATAGTAGCTTATCCAAATGGCACTATTTGCCTTGGGCAAGGTTTAATGGAAGAGTTTCACTTCAGATGAACCTTCCTGAATACTTAGGCTGCCTGCAGGAAAAGGCAGTGACTACTTATTAGCACACCAGAAATTTAATCTGTCCCTGTAGTGTCGGGGGCTGGCCCTAGCACTAGAACACTGAACGAGACAGAGCCCTTTACTGTTCTCACGGGGCACCCAGGGAGCGAGGGTAGACAGACACCAAATTGTTGACTCATAGTGAGATGGAATTACCCAATGGGAAGTGTGCTGGGCATGGTTTGCCTAGTTGGAAAGGCTTTTGAGTCACCCTGGTTTCACCAAAAAACAGTTATAGTAGAGTAATGGGGGAATGGGGGAGAGGAGGTTATCTAAGGAGCATTCAACAAGCGTTCTCCAAGAAGACGAGGGCTAGGCCAACACCTCAACAACGAGAAGAACAAGCTCCCTTAATCTCTTTGTGCCTCATTTTACAAAGGGGAAACCGAGAATAGGAACAGAGTTGAGAGCAGTGACATGCCTGACGCATAGTAAATGGTATTGAGTATTTGCTGTTGTTGCTGCTACTATCATGATTATTATTTTTAGGCTAGATATACTGACCCCATGACAATGACCATTAACCACTCCACAGAGGTTGTTTCCAGGAGTAAAAGTACTTTTACTATCTTCATCGTTCCCCAATGATTTATATCTTTTGGACCTAACTACCCTGTCAAGGGATTAAAAGTTGTGATCAGAATTCAGATCCAAACCAACTAATTCTAATGAGATATCCAAGTCTGAGGAGGCAATTTAGCTCCTTCAGCATATACTTCCTAACTCTCAGGGTTGTTGTAAGGAGTGAATAGGTGTTAATGTCCTACAGTAAAAGCATGCAGTGAAGGTCAAAGGCAGTCAAAATTACCCTGGGAGCATGTTGCCGGATTTAGCAAGTAAAAATACTTAGTTCATTCTTCTATTATTTAGTGTAAGTATGTCTCATACAATATTTGGGACACACAGTAAAAATTCATTGTTGTTTATCTGAAATTCAAATTTAAATGGACTTCTTATATTTTATCTGGCAACTCAACCTAGGAGACCCCTTGGAAATGTGCCACAGGACTTGGCTTGCATTTGGTAATTGGGTTATTCCCAAGCCTGTCTAGCTGTGAATCCTGGAAAAACGCAGAGGAGACCATCCAAAGGAAGATCAAATTCAAGGCTAACATTTTGTGTACTGTTGGACATATTATTGCACATAATGCAGTGAAAATCACTAGCACTATTTTAATTCCATAGTTCCTCAGTTCTAAGATGCCCACTTTTTCATATTTTAATAGCTCTGAATCAAATATGTCCTATAACCAACAGACTATCATAATTTAATTGGCAGTGTTTTTCTTTCTTGGTAGTACATAAAATAACGATTCTTCCAACAGTCGGTTGGAAGATCTGGGATTCAATGCACTATAGTTCTCCATCTCCTCTTTGTGCAGTTAAGTCACGTAAGTTAAATGTGACTCAGCTCGCTGTGAAAATGCTCAGCACCAAGGCTGATGTCATACACACTGGTTTCCTTCTGATGCAACAACAAAAGTTGAAACTGTTTTCACAGATGCACGCCAAAATAATAAAATTTGCAAAAACTTGAACCAAAGTCTTTATTCGCATTCAATGGATTGAAGTCTGTGATGGCTCCTCCAAGCAAATTCTATTTCTATACAGCTTAGAAAATAGATTTTAAAAAAAAATGTATCTGCAGTCATCCTACTTTATCAGCTTGAAGTGATTTTGGGGGAAGGCAGTGTTAACACGATTTCTGATTGAAGTACTGATATGTGTCGATTTTGACATTGTGCTCCCTCCTGTGCATGGAGTGTGCCATCACAAAGTGTATGGGTAATGATTAATTCCCTGCTGTAATGCTCAAACTGCCTCAGCTATTGACATTTTTATAGCTCTGTAACACAATACAGTAAGAGGAATGGTTCACAATAATTTAAATGTTTTTCAGAATTTGAAACTAATCTGTAGTAAAATGCCAAATTGTCTTCAAAGGGGGGGAAACTAGTTTAATGCTCTTCTTAAAGAAGCAAGTGGCTGAATATAAACTTGGATGTTTTCAGAAACTATTTCATTATTATCAGTTTTATTAAACAA